GCAGAAAAAAAAACATAATACAGTTTATCTAACTATTAACGTCTAATTAATCCAAAGATGTTCATTTTGTCTTTTTATGTACTTTATTATCTTTAAAAAGAGCACAAGAAGTTATATTCATGTCTAATGTCTATTAATATCCTTGTATCTTTGGTTTAATTCCCTTAAAAGTGCACTGCTTAACTTTTTGAGACTGTCCAATACCATGGAGATACTACGGCTCTACCTGTAATGTTCCACAATATGGTTTTAACAGGGTTCCCACTCTTTTTCACTGACAAAATTTCAAAAATTTTCCATGACTTTTTCATGACCTAAAGTGAATTTTCCATGATTTTATGGCACCTCCATGTGTAGAATTGATCAGACTTTTAGGGCTAAATATGAAATGTTAACTTTCCACTCACCTTATGGTTTGATTTTATAATTTTTTAACATTCAAAATACTGTCAGTGCATTTAGTGTCGTCTCTTTTAACCCTCGTGCACCGTTAAAAATAGTTACACCCGTGGTCCTTCGTGACAAAAATGTACATCGAAAGAAAGAATACCACAATATTTTTATGCAGTACAGATTTTTGTCCAACTTTTTTATATCAATGTCTTCATTTACTTACTAAATATTTTGAAATTTTAACCCTTTAAATGCCATTTTTGACAGCAAAAGTCTCAAATTTTGTGCATGAAAAAAATGAAAAAAAAACTGGATTATTTCTGTATTTTTTGATTAATTTTAATTTGTTTGTGTTGGGGTTATCAGAGGCTGAGGAAGTCATAAAACAGAGATTTTTAGATTTTTTTTGTTTTTGCACAAACTCAAATGTGATCCTTCAAAAATGTACACAGGAAAAGAACGTCATACTTTTTTTTTTTTTTTTTTTTTAAATGCAGACTTTTCTTCAACTTTTTTCTTTTTCTTTTATCCTTGTCTTCATTTACTTCTGCTCTAATCATACACACCAAATATCATATAATATTTTGAAATTTGAACACCTTAAATGCCATTTTTGAATGCGAAAGTCTCAAATTATGTGCATGTTTTCAATTTCCATGACTTTTCCAGGACTTCCATGACTTATGAAAGATGCATTTATCGAATTATCTGTATTTTTATTGCTCAAAAAATACCTTTATAACCCTGCGTTCTGACTGTGAGTGGGGTCGCCTCTTCACAGATCTCACCTGTAAATTCTCCTGCTTGTTTCTATGGAGACTGGAACGTTTAATGGCACTTTGGGATATTGGAGGTAAAGCAAGAACATCTCCATGGAGACAAGTAACTGGTAGAAAAGTGACACACCTTTAACACTATTTCTAGTCAAATATACATAAATATACAAATACAATTCCATCTAAAAAAAATTTTAATATCGTGAAAAAGTTCAATATTTTTTGTCATTTATTTCAGAAAGTCAGGTTTTTTAATTAAACGTGGACTAAAGCTGCATTGTGTAACTTTTCTGGTGAAGGGCCCCTCAAACGCTTTTCTCCGTAGAAATGTTATTGTTTTGTCTGGAATGTTTCACAGTATGGCATTAAACCTTTCTGTCTCCACGGAAACCAAACCGGATCAAGTTACAGGTCAGATCTGTGGAGAGGCGACCCCACTGCTCACAGTCAGAATGTTGTTTTTCTTGGTATTTTTGAGCTATAAAACCACTTGTAACTGAATAAATGTAAAACAGAGCTGTTTAAAGTCATACTGTGGAACATTCCAGTCAGAGCACATGGCGTAACCATAGAAACAAGCAGGTGATGGACCCCCCCAACCATAAAGTTACATAGTGAAGCTTTAGTAATAGTCACATTTTCTGAGACTTTCTGAAATAAGTGACAAAAAATACTAAACTTTTTCACGATATTCTAATTTCGTGAGACAGATTTTCACGCACATTTTTCACCATTTGGAGTTTAAATCGAAAAACGAGAATACATTATTGCGGACGTGTTACCAAAGCGCCTCCTGAATTGTCCTTGAGGTATTTACAAGCCCCGAGAGCTTCTATTGTGTCCACTCCATAACCTTGCGAGTGATGGTTTGAACAGCTGTGGCCCTAAAGGTAAAGTGGACCGTTTAAAGTCCGTACAAACAAACGAATGCGCTCCAGTAACGCCAAATTATTAAAATGCACGGTTCAGGGTCTGGACAAGGGCAGGTCGAGTTCTGTGGGAACCTTGAATAAAACGTTACATGAAAGAAAACAGTTATTGAAAGATATTGGGTTCAGTTGATTCAGCGAGTTTGGTTTGTAAATTGGTGTAATTAAGAAGATTTACGGGTCAAAGTTGGTTCAAAATGTCGTATAATATTAAAAGTGCGCTGTATAACTTTTTCGTTGGAGGTCCGTCACCTGCTTGTTTCCATGGATATGTCATTTCTCTGTCTGGAATGTCCCACAGTGTGACATTAAACAGCTCCACTTTACATTTATTCAATTACAGGTGGTTTTATGGCCCAATAATAACTCAAAAAACAGACATTCTCCACAGATCTGACCTGTCACTTGGTCTGGTTTGGTCTCCATGAAGATAGAAACGTTTAACACCATATTGTGAAACACTCCAGACATGAATTTTATTTATTTTTTTAATCTCCATGGAGAAAAGTATTTGATGAACCCTGCACTGCAACTTACTGAACCAGACTGCTAAACCCTTTTGAAAGTAGACTTGACTGAACTTAAAAGGTAAATAACAGTTACAAAACACATCTCGTCTTTAAAGTAGGGGTGTAACGTTACACAAAAATCAAGGTTCCGTTCGATTCGGTACATAACTCGGTTTTTGAGGTCAGGGTTCGGTTCATTTTCGGTTCAGTTTGGGAACAAAACGCAAAACCATTTGCTTGTTGTTTATGTGTGAGTTTATAAAACCAACTATTTGTTTTGACATTACACAAACGGGAAAATAAAACCAGTGCAAAGTGGAGTGGAGAGTCCATGCCAGCGAAATGCGAAAGTGAGGACGGCGGCGCGACGACCGTAGTTTTGCGAGGAGTCACATGGTTCAGAGGGACGTAGTCAAAGCAATTTTTGTCAAGGCAGCCGACCTAACTATAAAGCGCCGTGGGAAACAATCACGGACGAGTTTCCTTGTGAATATTAAAAGAGCCGAGTCTCTGTAGCTGCACATGTAGTGGCCAAATGTAAACACACATACAAATTGCACAAAACTCACTCGTGCACAGCCCTGCACCGAACCGAACGTCCCGTACTGAAAGAGTTCAGCAAGAATATATGTACTGTTACACTCCTAGTTAAATGGGAAAAAATAAAATTAAATCAGTCTCTGCTGTAGTATTGGCTGATATTGGCAAATATTTAAAGCATTTGTATTGAAACAGAAAAAGCTGGATCTGCTGAGGCGACCGCTCTGTGCCGTTTAGGAAAAGTGCGTTTGGACAACTCTCTTTTGCTTATCGAGCAGCTCAAACATGGAATCGAGTGTCTGCTCAGATACAAGAACTTTCAACACTGGCAGCATTTTCTAAAGCTTTAAAACAGAGGTTGTTCAGTGGCCAAATATGTCACCACGTTTAACCAATTAATAAGAACTAACAAATCTGTCTATCCATAAATGTGGAGGTTCCTCATACTAATGGAGTTTCATAATTACGAGTATTTTCTTGAATATTTCACAAACGTTACTTATCTAATAAAATCAAATATTAACTGCACTGATAAAAATGCTGATGCTGATTTCATTTTCTATTATCACAATTAATGTTTATAAAACTTATTACCCTATAAAAAAATGTCCAAAAAGGTCCATGTTACACTATTTTCTGATCTATGTTATAATGTTGAAACAAAACAAACAGACCTGGAGTTGTGTTTTGTTTCATTCATTGTGTTTTCTTCTCTCAAATGGAAACCTTGTGATGTCAGGAAGTGCTCCACTCCGTTTTTAAACTCCACACACCTTCACTAGAATCATGTGAATAATTTCAGCCCTGGAACTGCCGATCTCTACTGAACTAAAGATAAAAAAACACAACTCCAGGTCTGTTTTTGAGGAAATAACAACATTATAACACGAATTAAAGCTCCAAATAGTAAATTTTATGTAATTTCGGACCTTTAAATTTAGAGTTATTTCATTTAGAACACCGTAAAAACGCACTGTATAAATTAAATCAACTTCACTATTAAAACAAAAAAGAAAGTCAACATCGCAACTAAAAATTCACTCTCCATCATGCTTAGTATTTCTGACATAACATTTTTTAATTGAATGGTTACCAGTTGTAGTGTATGTATAATTACTCATAAACAATATTGTGATATATATATATATTTTTATATTTGGTATCTTGCCTTAACCAACAACTCCGTTTTACCACTACCGGAAGTGAAAACAACTCCAACAAGAAAAGTAAAATAAATAATAAACATCACCAAAAACAAAACAAAAAAAATCACCAAAATAAAAAACAAACAAAAAACAAACAAACAAAGAAATTACTTCCAACAAGAAAAGTAAAATAAATAATAAACATCACCAAAAAAAAAGAAAAAAAAAAGAAAAATCACCAAAATTAAAAAAAAAATAAAAAAATCACCAAAAAAAAAAAAAAAAAAAAAAAAAATTACTTCCAACAAGAAAAGTAAAATAAATAATAAACATCACCAAAAACAAAACAAAAAAAATCACCAAAATAAAAAACAAAAACAAAAAACAAACAAACAAAGAAATTACTTCCAACAAGAAAAGTAAAATAAATAATAAACATCACCAAAAAAAAAAGAAAAAAAAGAAAAATCACCAAAATTAAAAAAAAAAAAAAAAAAAAAAAATCACCAAAATTAAAAAAAAAAAAAAAAAAAAAAAATTACTTCCAACAAGAAAAGTAAAATAAATAATAAACATCACCAAAAAAAAAAAAAAAAAAAAAAAAAAAAAACACTGAATGAGATGCTGTGTCCAGACTTTTGACTGGCACGTATGTGATCAACAAAAATATAATTTAATGGCACAAATGTAGACTTAATTTGCTCTCACCTGCTCCATCCACTGCGTGAAAGAGCGCCCCCATGAGTCCTTCTTCTCCAGGTGCAGGTAGGTGTTGAACAGAATGAGGTAAACGTATCTCTCCAAATACTGCAGACTCCGCAACAGCAGCTCCTCGGCCTCCTGCTCGCACTTTGCACTTTTGATCTGGAAAAAGAGGGAAATTAAACATCATCAGCATGCTTTAAAGATCATTTTTATTAATTTTTTGGTCATTCACCAGCGCGTTTTAAAGCCACAGTATGTAACTTTATCACAAAAAGTAAAAATATATAAACTAAAAGCATGTTTTTGTCATTTTGGTTGAGTTTATTGCACCAAAAAACACGCTTCCTTACACTTTTCGGGCTTGCGTCTCCACAAACCTGACTCTTACCCTGCTTGTCTCCATGGAAACATTGTTCATTTGGCGATAATATTCCACATTATGGCATTAAACGTCTCTATATCCATGGAGAATGTTCCGAAGTATGATTTTAACTTTCTATTTCCATTGAATCCTCCGTAAAGTTGCACATTGTAGCTTTAAGTTTTGACAAGAAGCTCAAAAACACATCGAATATGAGACATTATTATTGTGAGCAGGGCCACCTTTCCACAGATCTGGCCTGTAACTAGGACATGGAGATCAGTTGGGCTTAATCTACACTTTGAACAACGACAAGCAACATCTCAAAACAAGTAAGAGTAAAGTTACATGGATCAGCTTTAAATTATGACCATCAGAGTATATCAGAGCTTAATCTCCTTGGTTACGGAAAAGAAAATGCTGATTCACTGTGTGCGTCTCCCCCGACAACGCTCTATTCCTCGGACATGACCGTGATTATGTAAATTACGTTTTTTTGTCCTTGATAATCTGTCTCTGTACCAAACACAAACCAAACCTGTCTGAGTTTTTTTTTTTTTTTTTTTCAATTTTTTGTTTGAATTTTTGATTTTTTCCTCACCTCTCTCCACTTAAACTGTTCGTCAAACTACAGAAAATGTTCCAAACTCGAAAAGATTGTATTCAGTGATCATATTGAACTCAAATAACAAACGGCATAGGTCAGCACAACCTTCATAGGCTCAATTCACGTTTAAATCATAAACCAGGAAGAAGTTTGGAAACATGCGATGACAACTTCCGGCTCTGTTTGTGTTTTTTTTTTAAATAGATCTACGGTTTTCAGTAGTACCGTATTTTTCGGACTATAAGTCGCTCCGTAGTATAAGTCGCACCAGCCAAAAAATGTATAATGAAGAAGAAAAACACATATAAGTCGCACTTTTTTGGGGAAAATGTCTTCTATAAAACCAGAGACCAAGAACTGAGATTTCCTGTTGAAAGTCAAGTTGTAGTAAAAACAATAGAAGAGAGAACAACAGACTGTTAACGTCACATATGAACAGTTCTTCAGATAAACTATAACATAAACAACAGAACAGAACAAGTTTAACAAACTCTCCATCTCACTCCAAATCTTCTTCATCCTCGGTGTCACTTCTGAACAACTCCTCGACCTCCGGAGGTAAACAGAGCGCCGCTTCCTCTTCTGTGTCGCTGTCGTCAGACTCAGCGTCAGTTCCAGTTAGAATTATTCAGGTCTTTCTGAATCCCGACAGGATGGTTTCGGTGTCACTGAAGTCCAGACTTTGTCCATCCATCCAGTGACTTCAGGAAAGCTTTCACAGTGTCACAAGTTTCTCTCTCACTCCAAACTTTCTTTCTGCTGCTCGATTATCGTTTTCAGCTGCAGATTTCACGACTTGCAGCAGGACAGAGGCTCTTTCTGCAGGAGACATGCGCAGTAGAGCCAAGTGACAGTGGTGCAGGAGGAACAGGAGCAGCAGATACTCACACACAAGACTAGAACCTCTCAACATTTTAATATATAAGTCATAGGAAACACCCAAACTATGAAAAAAGTGCGACTTACAGTCCGAAAAATATGGTACTGAAAGAGAAGGTGTTGAACTTTCTGCTAGTTTTTGTTTCATGTGGATAGGCCCAGTAATTACAGATATAATAATAATAATACATAACACTTGTATGGTGTTTTTTCAAGATACTTTAGTTCAGCAGAAATTGGTACTTCCAGGGCTGAAGTCGTCCAAATGATTCCAGTGAAGGTGTTTGGAGTTTTATGATGTAAATGTCTATTTTAAATGTAATTTAGTTTTCAAACTTGTTAATGTGTATCGTGAAATGTGAAAGTGTTTTGCACTTGCCGGCCACTGTAAAAATAAACTTAAAATTGCAGCAACTAAAATTCAGAATAAACAAATATTCAAAACAGATTTTCAGATTTTAAAACATTCAAAGTGAGAATTTCAGTGGTATTTCAAAGGAAAAGGGAAAGTTTCATGGTGCATCCTCCCGGTGTCACAAGTTTCTCTCTCACTCCAAACTTTCTTTCTGCTGCTCGATTATCGTTTTCAGCTGCAGATTTCACGACTTGCAGTTTGTAATCTGCAAAATATAATTTTCTTTTTGGAGGCATTTGTGTTCAGTTTTCTCAGTGTCTTTATAAGTTTGATTAAATGTTAAATTGTTCAGTGGTGCAGAAGTAACGGTGCGATCGACTGACATGATACAGACAGGACAGAGGCTCTTTCTGCAGGAGACATGCGCAGTAGAGCCAAGTGACAGTGGTACAGGAGGAATACAAATACTGCATGTTGCTTCAGGTTTGTGAAGTTGTCGTGTACAGGTGGGAGCCTGGATGACGTAAGAAAGGTTTGAATACAGCCCAGGAGAGATCACTAAATTACTCAAACATACGTGGACGACTCTAAAACCTCTTCAGACATGTTTTTGATGAGAGAAAAACATTATAACTTGGCAGAAAGCTTTAAAAAAAGGCTGATTTTGCATAATACTGTTGCTTTAAAGTCCCTGTGGAGAAGTTTTCTTAAGGCTACAAAAACATTTTAAAACTCGAAAAAGCCTTGTTCAATTATTTAATCTTTCTTTTGCTACGCTACCAACACCGAACCCACCAGCAGCAAAAGCTTCCTTTAAAACCCCCTTTTCATTTCAAACAAAAAGTGAAAATATGTACAAAACTCTCTTCTGTACACTCTCTGAAACCTGCGTTCACATTTCAGAAGTTTTAAAAGGTTCAAACGTGGCAAAAAATAAAACGACTGGCATACATGTGATTCCACGCTTTGATCAAAACGTACCCATGCCATAAAAAGAAAAACATCTTCTTTACATCAAATCATGCAAAGGCTCCAGTGATTACAGGTCTGAGTACAGAAAACTGGAGGCACCTATAGACTCATTTCGATTTGAGTCATTTGCATTTGAATAAAAAGGTGATTATAGGTGACTTAGACGTACGTATTCACTGCTTAAAAACTTTAAAAACTTTACAGAATTAAAGGTTGTATAGAGGATTTTTTAAGGGAAGAGAAATACAGCGACAGTCCTTTTTCAAATGTCGTGCAAGCGTGACACCACCTTCCTCCTCCACAGCCTCAGTAGAAACACCTCCTCCCGTCTCTTTACTCTAGAAATCACGCTTGTTTACATCCAGTGCACGTTCAGAATTACTGCTGAAGTGACCTGTCAAGAAATAATTTAGCAAATGTGAATTTTTAGTCGCACAATCGCTGGAAGGAATCTCCAAGAATCACCTCAGTTTGTCTTCGCTCCTTTTCCCCTTCTCTTCTTCTTTCAGCGACCTCAAAAACGGACTTTCTTTCGCGGCGAACCGGTCGTGGATTCTCGTCCGCCATCGCAACAAACTTTGCGCGAATTGCGACAAAGCTACAGTTTGAAAAAGCCTCTAAGAACCGCCGCATAAACCGCGTAATCCCCGCACGCCGACGAGTCAGTTACACTAGAAACGTAGGGAGATTGATTGACAACCTAACAGCCAATAGAAAATGAGGTAGCCTTGTTACCTATTGGCTGATGTTTATCTGGCCTCACTACGTCCACAGTTGATAGATTTTCATTCTTTTTTTTTTTTGGATCATCATAATTACAAGGCTGCTGTGTCTCTGTAATGGTATTTTAAACTTTCACTGATAATTTGAAACTAAAAAAAAATCCTCCACACAACCTTTAAAGGGTTCATATTACACTATTTTCTAATTGATGTTATAATGTCGTTTCCTCACAAACAAACCCAGAGTTGTGTTTCGTTTTGTTTCATTTGCACATGTTTAACACACAAACGAATGCATATTTAGGCCAAATTCTTCTCTCATGCAGAAAACACTCAGTTCCATGTTGTGATGATAAGAAAGTACAGAAAGTTATGGAAGATCATTTGTACCATCAGATTTAGAATTTGAAATACCGCAGAATTTCTCACTTTGAATGTTTTAAAATCTGAAAATCTGTTTTGAATTATTTTTATTCTGAATTTTAGTTGCTGCAATTTTAAGTATATTTTTACGGTGGCCGGCAAGTGCAAAACACTTTCACATTTCACGATACACATTAACAAGTTTGAAAACTAAATTACATTTAAAATAGACATTTACATCATAAAACTCCAAACACCTTCACTGGAATCATTTGGACGACTTCAGCCCTGGAAGTACCAATTTCTGCTGAACTAAAGTATCTTGAAAAAACACCATACAAGTGTTATGTATTATTATTATTATATCTGTAATTACTGGGCCTGTCCACATGAAACAAAAACTAGCAGAAAGTTCAACACCTTCTCTTTCAGTACCATATTTTTCGGACTGTAAGTTGCACTTTTTTCATAGTTTGGGTGTTTCCTATGACTTATTTATTAAAATGTGGAGAGGTTCTAGTCTTGTGTGTGAGTATCTGCTGCTCCTGTTCCTCCTGCACCACTGTCACTTGGCTCTACTGCGCATGTCTCCTGCAGAAAGAGCCTCTGTCCTGCTGCAAGTAGAGAAATCTGCAGCTGAAAATGGTTAATCGAGCAGCAGAAAGAAAGTTTGCAGTGAGAGAGAAACTTGTGACACTGTGAAAGTTTCCTGAAGTCACTGGATGGATGGACAAAGTCTGGACTTCAGTGACACTAAAACCATCCTGTCGGGATTCAGAAAGACCCGAATAATTCTAACTGGAACTGATGCTGAGTCTGACGACAGCGACACAGAAGAGGAAGCGGCGCTCTGTTTACCTCCGGAGGTCGAGGAGTTGTTCAGAAGTGACAAACATTTGG